ATTCAACTCATTTCATTATCTTGAGGTAAATGACCATTCAGAAGCACGTTGTTTAATGTTATCATATCCTCTCTAAGGTGACGTTTTTCTAAACTAAAGTGGGTTAAATTTGTTAACCTTTCTTTATAGCTAAAATTTTCCATAACTTTTGTTAATTTTGTAGCCTGCCTACACCTTTTCTAGTGCCATAATATCCCTCTTTAGAACAGGTGCCCTAGTAGTACTAGTATTTTCAGTATTTTCTAAACTATAAACCTATAGACCTCCTTCCTGGTACCATGCCTCCTAAGGGTAGAGTTTATCCTCTATCTCCTAAAACTTGATTATGGAGGAATTGTTTATCTGTTTATATAATATTTTACCAGGAAGGATACATTGAGATTTTTCTCTTTTTCAAATATGTCCTGGGCTTTAAGAAAATATTTTATTGATAGGTTAACCTCTCCAGCAGGTGCTGGGTTATTTTTGTTTGCAAGAAGTAAATAGATATAGGACCATTAGCTATAGGGGTCTGATTAAAATAACAATTTCTCTTATTACTTAACTCTTTAATAGGCTGAAAGGAACTGCAGTCGTAACCAGACTTGATTTATGAGGTGCATATAATCGGGTACGAATCAAACAGCCAGGAGATGGCATTAAGAATATACAGTTAAGCCTTTTGGACTGTAATGCCCTGGCTTTTACATAGCAAGTTGCTTAGTTACATAGTTGAAAAGAGACATGTGTCCATCAAGTTCACAAGGTATATGGAGCAAGAAGGAAATGGGGCAATGTGGAGAAGTATATAGTGTACTTTACATCTTGAGAAATGGAATACATAGAAAGTGATACACTTACAACATTTAGAGCTCCGAGTTAGCTCTACTTTTGTGTACTTGAGCAGTACAATCTCTCTTTTAAGGTGTGCAATATATCTCTTGGTCCATATGGAAAATCCCAGGAGTATGTAATAAAAACAGATATGGAAACTATACAGTGTAGTATATTTCAATGTTATATATTGGCAAGTATAAGATAGAATTGCACTTACACGAACCATCTCCTATTTGATAGTGTGAAGTGGCATAATCCACATTGTAGGTTAAATTGTTGGCAACTATATTCTCCATGGTGTATAAAGAAGAAAACAGAGGCAAAAATATAGTACACATTATGATGAAAGTAAATGCAAACAAATGTAAAACTGCTTACTGGTTTTGAGCAAAATATGTTCCCACCAAGAAAGATTGTGTCCAAAACAGACATTGAATAAAAGTAGGATAGTCCAGGGATCTTGAGACAAAACAAATAGACGCATGGTGCCTGAGCTACGCAAAGACTCCGTGATGCGGATATAAAGTTATCCAAAGATATGTTAAGGGGAAACCATATTTTTATACTTTTATGTTCAAGCCGCTCAGTGGCGCAATCAAATCATACCAGGCATTTTTTGATTCTTTTATTGTGAAAGCTTACAGATTATATAGTACTTTGTAAAACGGCTTTGTGACTTGCGCAACAAAAACAGGATGCTTGAAGTCACCCTGTACCATAAAAGGAATATACAAAACTAAGTATATTTCAGTGGTTATATGTATATAAAAATATTGGGACATAAGAAGGGGGGGCTGAGGGTGCAGCTGCAATTGTCTCCTCAGAAACCACAGAATGTCACAAGTCATGAATTTATGCTTACTTGTGATAGAATGCTGTTAATGTCATGCAGTGTATAAATGGTGTCAGGCTTGTGATAGAATGCTGTTAATGTCATTCAGGGTGTAAATGGTGACATGTCGGTGGCTTTGTCCAGTAGGGAAGTAACCGCAGCTACTGCTCTGACACCGGAAGGGGCACCTCTGGCAACAGGGTCTAACCTGGTGGAGTAATAGGCAACAAGTCTCTGTTTCCCACCATGGCTGCATCCACTCGTCACACAGATCCCCTCGTTATTGCAATGTTCTCATCAGAGTTCTCATCAGAGTTCTCATCAGAGTTCTCATCAGAGTTAGTGACTGACCCATAGGTGCTGGTTTCTCTTTGCCCTTCTCAGTTCCCTGGTCAGACCTATGGTGGCCTGAGAGGGGGGGACCCCTAGCGCATCCTGATCCACATCAGGGGTCTAACAACGCTTGACAAGACCTGAACAAACCGACACTGACCACCCAGAATCAACACACTATCCCTGGGACAGATGGGCAACACAGGACTTCCGGTACACTCCCCCGTCCTTTCACTCACCACCATCGTGGACCGCAGTGTCAAGGACACCACCCGACGGTGAAACTTTAAGGGCGGCCAACACACCCATGCGACCTGCTCTCCCCGCGGTCTCCCGAATGGCAGAAATGTCGTTCTGCCATTGCCCACTTAGGATCCTCACTCAAAACTGCAGAGGACTGGACATCCTGAGGGTGCAGGATGCACCTTCTCAGAGAACTGCGACAAAAACAAATCTCAATCGCCCTCCTACAGGAGGCCCATTTCCGGGAGGGTTCGGCCCCACCTCTCCGGAACAGAGCATACTCACAAACTTACTTCAGCAATCACCAAACTTCCAAAAAAGCGGGCGTAGCCATTCTCCTAGCCATGAGGTTAGACTTCACGGAAACGGATAGGGTACTGGACCCGAACAGAAGACACATCTTCTTAAAAGGTACCATCACAAACCGCACCTACACCCTGGCATGCATTTATGCTCCCAATCGAAACCAGTCAGAATTATTCCGCAGAGCCTTGACCACCCTTTCCGAATTCGTGGAAGGCATTCTCATTCTAGGGGGTGATTTTAATGTCCCCCTGGACTCCACACTGGATTCCTCCACAGGATGTAGTAGCATCCCGCAAAGGGAAATCTGAGGCATACAGAAAGCTCTCAGATGCTTACGACTGGTTGACTGTTGGAGAGCCTCGCACTCCATGGTAAAAGGCTATATACGCAATACTCAAGGGTCCATGCGAGATAGGTCATCTAGGCAGCCACATGGTCCGACCATGGATCGGTAATGATGGAAATGGACTCACTGCTCAAAAGACCCAGAATAATGAACTGGAGACTGAACGACTCCTTATTGATGGATATAGAGATTAGGGAACATATCACACAGGCCTTAGAGACCTTGGACACCACTATATGGGAGGCCCACATGAGAGGCCTCATAATCCAACTAGCGACGAAGAAAGAATGTAAGCCCAACGACAGATGGAAGACCTCCTCAACAAAATCAGGGTCATCGAGGCGCGCCACAAAATAACAGTATCGGAGGAGGAATACATGGAACTATTAGGACTCAGGAGCCAGCTACAGGTGCTGCTCGTCGGTAAACATTACAAAGGCCTTCTATTACACTCATGCAAACAAGGGAGGCAAACTCCTGGCTCGCATGCTCAGGGGGCAACAGACCCATGTGCAGGCACACAAGCTGAAACTCGAAGGAGGACGGACAACACAACACAACCCGAAATAATAGCAAACGAATTCCGCACTTTTTATGCAAACTTATACAACCAGCAACAACAGAACCCCACTGACTCACCACACACCATGACAGCGGCAAGTCAACAATACCTCTCAAAATACCTCACCAAAACTGTGACCCGAGACGAGGCAGAACTCATAGAAGCACCTCTCATGGTTGAAGAACTGAAGGTGGCAATCAAGACAGCGAAGACGGGCAGGGCACTGGGACCAGACGGTTTAACCCTCGAATACTACAAAAGATTTGGAGACACGCTCATTCCTAAACAAGCCAGTGCACTGAACGCACTCATGCCCAGGAATATGCTCCATGACGAAACACTGGCGGCAACAATAACCATCCTGCCTAAGCCAGGCAAAGTCCTGGAGCTCTGCAGCAACTACAGGCCAATCTCCCAAGACTGGTCCACCCTGATCAAACGGGATTTGTCCCAGGCAGGGAAGTCCGAGACAGCACGCTCCGAGCCCTCTCCATACAACACATTGCAAGCCTGTCAGGAGAGCAATTGCTTCTACTCTCCACTGACACAGAGAAATCTTTCGACAGGGTGGACTGGATGTTCCTGACAGTGAGGCTCAGGGAGATGGGGTTTCGGCCCAAACCTGCTCACCTGGATCACTGCAATATACAGTCGGCTAAATGCACGAGGTTAAGGTGAACGGAGCGCTCACAGCCACCTTCCCAATCTGAAATAGGACCAGGTAGGGGTGCCCCCTCTGCCCGCTGCTCTTCGCCTTGACGCTGGAACCCCTTCTTGAAGCAATATGGAGCAATGAGGACATCAAGGGTTTTAACTCGAATGGTACGATACACAAAACGGCATGCTGTTTTTCGTCACGCAACCCAGAATTTTCTTACCGTGCTGAATTTGAAGAATTTAAGACCTACGGCCGACTCTCTGGTCTCAAACTTAACATGTCAAAATGTGAGGTACTAAACATAACGATCCCAAGCAGGGAAATTGACCTTCTGCACACTCAGTTCCGATTCCACTGCGAATAGAAGATGAAATACCTCGGACTATGACTCACAAGGAACCAACGCAAACTTAATCCAGCTAATTTCATACAACTCCTCACTAAGATACAGCAAGATCTCCGCAACTGGAACTACCAACATATATCATGGGACGCATCGCTGTGGTAAAAATGAATATCCTACCCAGACTTTTATATCTTTTTCAATCACTACCGATGACTCTACCTACAGCATTCTTCTCATCACTGTGATCTGCAATCATGAAATATGTATGGAAAGGCAGCCGGCCGTGAATAAGACATGAAACCCTGTGCCTACCGAGACACTGGGGCTGCCTTGCACTCCCATACATAAGGAAATACCATCATGCCTCCGCGTTACAACGCATACTGGAATGACACTCCCGCCCACGTCACAAGCAGTGGATCCCACTAGCGGAGGCCACCGGAGCAGCACATCTACTCGAGGCAGAATGGATGACTCAACCCACCACACAAAGAGATTCAGACCAGACGTCCCCGGCGGCACACACCCTAAAATCATGGAACCCAATGCCTTGCATCTTTCCCCAGTCCCGAGCCCAATGATCCCACTAACCAACAACCGCTCAATCGGTGAAGGACCAACTGTTAAAGCCTGGGGCATACTTGGCAACCTCAGCAAGGTGATCTCAAACCTCGACCAATACACCCTTGTAGGGGACCGCTCAGAAATATTCACATTCAAAAGGCAGTGGGAACTCATCAGGGGAAATACATTTAACCCAAACCAATGGGCAAAGATACTCATCTTACACCACAAATCCTCAGTAAGTTCCCAGTAAGTCTAATACAAACTCCTGTCACAATGGTACAAAACTCTGTCACGATTACATAGGATGTTCCCAACTGTCTCGGAAACATGCTGGGTGGGACTGTCCTTGCATCAAGCCATTCTGGGACTTGATCAACACCAAAATCGCAGAGATCTTGGCAGACACGACTCCCCTGATGATGGAACAATTTCTGTTACATTCCACTCCGAGACCAATCTCGCACTACAGAAAATCCATGCGACACATGATCGATGCAGCTAAGGTGCTCATACGCGCTCTGTGGAAACAATCACAGACCCCGACATTAGCACAATGGTATGAACGGGTAGAGGAAATCTACTCCACGGAGACTGTAAGGGAATCCTTGATGGGATGGAGCGATAGATATACCGAGATATGGAGACCATGGATTGAGTTCATCGTGGCGAGAAGAAGGGGGAAGATGTGGAGGGGAGAGACAGAGGTCCCAGCACTCGGACTGACAATACCAACTCACCCCTCACCAAAATGGTACTCCCAACTTCATAACACCACGCTAACGTATAATACCACAACTACGGCAGACACAAGTGGGACATCCTACACTGGGGGGGGGGAGCACGGTGCTGCCTAAGCACACGACAAAGTGAATGCATGCAACAATTAAACAGAGACATAACACCACGGGGATTAGACATATGGCTGAGATCCAAGGGAGGACCTTAACAAAACAACTACTCTAACTGACCATGGGACAACCAACAACCTACGAATCACTCCTAGAGAACCCAGCCTGAGCTTCTCACCACAACCATACGGAAGGAGCAGACCAACACGGGGAGAGGGTGGGTGGAAGCGGAGGGGTTTTGATTCATAGACCTGAGATGATACCGCAATAGGGTGGCGGAGGGGCGGGGGGAGGAGAGGCCAGCATGCCACACAGTCCGATCACAACAGACCGCAGCAATCCACACAGCTTAACAAAGCTCTGATGAGGAACAGATACCAAACTGGGCATACATAGACTACAACTCTTAATCGCCCCCCACAGGGACAACACACAGCAAATCCATAAACTAAGAATGCAGAAGCTCAACTGCCAGAGGGCAGGGGAGATGGGGAGACGGAGGCAACTGCCTTTAACAGGACACATAATGAAGATCACAAACACAGCACACCATGTAGGTACACTACAACTCCAGTGCACAGGACCCCCCGGTACTCATACTGATGGTGCCCAGTACCTCCAGAGCCATATCAGACCTGACAGGGGCACACATTACACCTACATAATGAGCAAAGGGGACTAGGTGACACAGAGACCTGGTAGCAACCTCTAGAGACCATGATGACTCAATATAAGCCAGGAGACCTGCGAGTCCTAGCACTATACACAATATGCTAGACCCGCGTGTCTATAATTACTGTTCTTACCATTGTAGAAACAAATACCGTGACTCACGGGAGACCTACGAATCTCCCAGTTAGGTTAGGCAGACCTGAAACTGAGGGAGATATGGGGGGGGAGGAGACTGAGGGAGAGATGGGGGGAACTGAGGGAGGTATGGGGGGGGAAGGAGACTGAGGGAGAGATGGGGAACTGAGACTGAGGGAGGATGGGGAACTGAGGGAGGTATGGGGGAAGAGAGACTGAGGAGAGATGGGGAACTGAGGGAGCATGGGGGAAACTGAGGGAGGTATGGCCAGGGGAAGGACTGAGGGAGATGGGGAACTGAGGGAGAGATGGGGTAACTGAGGGAGGTATGGGGAACAAGACTGAGAGGGAGAGATGGGGAACTGAGGACAGAGGGAACAGGCATGGGAGGGACTGAGGGAGGTATGGGAGGAGACTGAGGGAGGGTATGGGGGGAAACTGAGGGAGGTATGGGGGGAGAGAAAACTGAGGGAGGTATGGGGGGAGAAGGAAACTGAGGGAGGTATGGGGGAGAGGGGAAACTGAGGGAGGTATGGGAGGAGAGAAAACTGAGGGAGGTATGGAGGGGGGAAACTGAGGGAGAGATGGGGGGAGAAACTGAGTGTGGGATGGGAGAAAAAAAATGAGGGATGGATGGGGGGAAAGAAAACAGTGGGGGTGGGGAGAGGGGGGACGACATACACACAGCACCCCTGCCCTACACACATCACCCCACATAAAGACACACACACACACACACATCACCCCACACAAAGACACACACACACACAAACACATACACTGTACCCCTCTATGCAGTGTGTGTACACTCAGCAGTCTGTGTGTGTGTACACTCAGCAGTCTGTGTGTGTGTACACTCAGCAGTCTGTGTGTGTGTGTGTACACTCAGCAGTCTGTGTGTGTACACTCAGCAGTCTGTGTGTGTGTACACTCAGCAGTCTGTCTGTCTGTGTGTGTGTACACTCAGCAGTCTGTCTGTGTGTGTGTACATTTAGCAGTCTGTGTGTACTCAGCAGTCTGTGTGTACACTCAGCAGTCTGTGTGTGTGTGTACTCAGCAGTCTGTGTGTGTGTGTGTGTACTCAGCAGTCTGTGTGTGTGCATATTTAGCAGTCTGTGTGTGTGTGTTTATTTAGCAGTCTGTGTGTGTATTCAGCAGTCTGTGTGTGTATTCAGCAGTCTGCTAAATACAGACAGACTGCTAAGTACACAGACAGACTGCTAAATACACACAGACAGACTGCTAAATACACATACAGACAGACCGCCGAGCACACACACAAACTGCTTAATACACACACAGAGATGTTAATTAGTTCGGACAACTGTATGAGTTGTTTTTTCTAAACTTAAACCTCAGTATTCAGGTTTAATTGCCGTTTTGGCACTTTGAGGGAAAAAAAATTGGCATGTATTACAGTTTGGGCACTCAGGCTCAAAAAGGTTCGCCATCACTGCTTTAGAAAATATTGTGTAATCTGCAAATACTGAAACATCACTTTCAATGCCTATTTCAAGATCATTCATAAGTATGTTAAATAGATGTGGTCCTAGAACAGAACCTTGAGGGGCATTACTTACCACTTTTGTCCAGCTCTTTAAGCCAATGTACTACCCAAGAACTCACATTTTTATCTAGACCAATTTCCTTTAGTTTGAACATTAACCTATTGTGTGGAACCGTATCAAATGCCTTTACAAAATCCAAGTAGATCACATCCACTGCAGCACTCTATCCTTTTACTTTCTTCGCATGCAAGTAACTTAGCTTGACATTACCTTAGCTTCATAAAACTATGCAGATTTTTGCTAATAACAATGTTCTTCCTAATAAATTCTTGAAAATAATCCCTTAATAACCATCCAAACACTTTTCCAGTCAGAGACATTTAGCTCACATGTCTATAATATCCAGTCAAAGATATTGAACGCTAGCATCACACCAAAAAAAGATCCAACTAGCCGAATTAGCAGACTCTCTTACAAACCTTTGGACGCTAGAAACAAGCCACAAACAAAACCCCACGCAAGACACCCTCACTAAGCTAACAGATTGCCGCGAAAAAAATTAAAGACTTCATGACTAGAGACTCGGCAAAAGCCATGCAGTGGACAAAACAAACCTACTATGAAAAATCCTACTAGCCCGAAAACTAAAATGCAAGAACGACCATAAACAAATAAATACAATACAAACACCAGACGGAACCAAACACTCCCTCCCAGCAAAAATTTGCAAGGTCTTCCAAAACTATTTTACCACACTATACGACCATAGTCCCAATACACGACAACACCCCGATAAGACCATGCAATCAATAGAGACATACCTACAGAAGATACCCTTACCAGCCCTAAAAACGGGAGCTATCACCAAAATAATCAAAAACACCAAACCTAATCACGGGACTCTATTACAAAACGTTTCCAGCCACGCTCCTCCCACACCTCTGCAACCTTTTTAACGCAATTCTGCAGGGAAACCCCATACCCCCCGACATGCAAAGAGCAAACATGTGCCTCCTCCCCAAGCTAAACAAAACTCACCTGGTCCCGAGCCACTACAGACCGATATCATTGTTGAATGTAGACATCAAGTTACTCACAAAGCTGCTCACGGACAGGATAAACCCCCACATACATAAACTCATACACCCAGACCAAGTTGGCTTTATACCCTAAAGACAGACATACGACAACACCAGACGGACCTTTGACCTCCTCAGGGCGACCCCACACCGACGGATTCCCACATTATTCCTATCCTTAGACACCAAAAAGGCATTCGACCGACTACTATGGCCCTTTCTCTGCTTTACACAAATTCTGGTTCCCCGACCCAATCCTAAACACACTCCAAACCCTATATTCAGCACCAGAACCGAATCTCCTAATTCCGAACGCCCAACCCCCCTCACTCCGCATATTTAACGGAACGAGACAGGGCTGCCCCCTCTCCCCACTCTTGTTCACCCTCTCATTGGAACCCCTACTCCATGGACCCGAAAATCACAGGCATACACATTAGAAAGGAAGAATATAAAGTGGCAGGGTATGTCGATGACCTACTCCTTACTATTACCGACCCAGCTAACTCGCTCCCACCACTTCTACATACCATAAACAAATACTCACAGGTTTCAGGCTACCGTCTCAACATAGACAAGATGGAAGCGCTACTGGTGCAAAACCCTAGTGAGGATCTCGACACGTTAAAAGCCGACTACCCATTTCACTTCAACCCCACGCACATCTGGGTGTAATGATATTGATGTTACAAAGTTTTGGAGTCCAGTAGCCAGATCAGCAATGTTTTCTGCCAGAGGTAGCCACTCGTTACCCAGGTGGTTGAGCCCCTGAGCCTTGAGTGGCCTTCTGGTCTTAAGCAGAGATGGGAGACTGGAACGGAAAGATGATAATCGTAGTGAGGCAAGCCGAGGTCAGTGGGAAGGAGAAGCAGCAAAGTCAAAACAGTCCAAATTCAGCAACAGGAAGGAGAAACAGGAACACACTTGATTAGAGAGTACAGGAACCACAATAAT